GGTTTTCTTAGAATCTGGCATGGGCATCATTGTGACTGAGCCCTCTCTCTGCCAAAGAGACTGATAATGTCAGAAAGGATTGTGTAAATCATATTAGTACAAAACCAAAGCTTTTCAGAATTCCTGGAGCCAGAGAGACCTGAAATGACGTGTATCCTCCCTTCTCTTTGGCCTCTTCCTCACACGGCCTCTACCCCCAATGCTCAACTACATTTTATTACTTCATGGAAATATTTTTGAGTTGAAATTCTGTTTTTTCTTTTTTCCAAATTGAGAGAAAGTGAAAGGAAAATGTGTTGGAAAGATACTGTTCAAAGAAATATACATGGTGTTTCTCTTAAATTTGGGATTAATCCGGAAAAGAAAAAAACATGAACTTTCTTACCTTTCTACTTTTAGTAGGCACTAGACTTAGTGTTGTGAAAATGGTGACTACATTAGAGAAAAGAACTTCAACAGTAACAAAGATTTGTAAAAGTAAGAAAAAAAAAACTGAAAAGGGAGGGTAGCTTCTTATTACGTTTCTCTCATTTAAAACCAATCACAATAGTATACATTCTTTTTAAACCAATTATAATAGTATACAGTCTAACATGAAACACAATGGATCATCGTTTCACACTATCGTATCACCCTCCTACAGTGAAAGAAATTTTTGGAGTTATTCCTAAAAATTCTTTTGCTGGAAGATTTTTAGAAAACCAGTTTTGTACATTTCAGCCTCTCAAAGGAAAACAGTACTTGGGAGTTTTCAAGGCTGAAATGTACAAAACTGGTTGGTAACTGGCAAGTTACCAACTCCAACTATCAATGCAAATCTGGGACAGGAAGTACGAAGGAAATTCTAAACTCCTTCCCTCCCTCTGCAAGATTTTCTGTGTTTTCATGTGCAAGGAATGTGTGAAGAAGGGTTGTTTTGTTTCGCTTTTGCAGGATCTGTACATTCACATGGGTAAGAGTATCTTGGCCCCACAGGAGCCTCCCTCTTTCTCTGCCGACCCCCTGAGCCTTCTGTTTTCAAGTGTCTGCTCTTTTCATGGCACCACGGGGCTCCAGCTAGACTTTCAGAGCTGGGCAGCTGTCCAGCTGCAGATGGCTGGAAATTCAGCTTGAGGTCAGTGTGCTGGTGGAGAACGGCTCCTCCACCTGACCCCAACTTCACACCAGGCTCTGAGCAGAATCTGAGACCCACCAGTCAGGAAGCCCTTGTCAGGGTACTGCAGTCTGAACCCCTTTCTTCAAGGTCTTCTCGGGAAGCAGATGGCCAAAGGCAGGAGGCAGACTGATGAGAAACTGCACTAAACTGGGAGAAACGTAGTGATCTGGTGTAAGTGTGGAAAAGGAAGAAAAGAAAAAAACTTTCTGTGTGTGCCTGGGTGAATTTTAAAGTTTCATGATGACTAAAGTTTTCCAAATATCACATATGAGAGAAATATCTATTTCTCAACTACAAAATATCAGTTGACCAGGTTGTGACCATGTTTTAACTCTTTTTAGTTTGCCCCATTCAACTTGTTCTTCTAAGAAACACCCTCCCACAAAGTACCTCAAATTCAGACTGAAATTCACCCTGGACCATAACAGAGGAGCAACAGGTTGGCTATTGGAAATAGGGTATAACAAAATCCTTGAGAAATATTACAAGACAACTTAATCACATATCGTTATGTATCATTCAGCTAAGAAACAATTTTTTTGGTCTCTTTTCTCTAAAACTGAATTATTCTGGGTGGTCTTCCAACAGCAAATTTGGCTTCCTGAAACTTTTTTTTGAAAATCCAGTTATGGAAAAAAAAAAAAAAAGAAATCCAGTTATGTCTCTTATTTAAATATAGTGACATGTCACCAAGATTTCTTCATTACTTCTAAATAAAAGTAATATTCTTTTTAGAAATTGCTTCTTTGGGTAGGAAAAAAAAATTGGTCAGAAAGAAAACTGACAAGTGATAACTTTAAGTGTAGGTCTGGGAGAGTAAGTTATAGCTACAAGTCAGCCACCGGTTTTCCTTTTATTTGATTGACTCATGTTTTTCTAATGTAACATTTTAAGCATCTGGAAATTTATTCAAAGAAAGAAAAGCATAAATATCTTCTTTCTTTCTTTTTTTCTAAGCAACAAAGTGAAGAGATTGACTCTAATGTGATGGGTAAGAACTGGAACAGAATAGGCAGGGAAGTATCACAAGTTTTTCCTACAACTTTAAGTGCATTTGAGCAAATGGAAGACAAATGCATTTATTTCAAAATCCATTTTCATTTTCTTTTATCATAAGAGAATAGTAGCTGCATCTGACATACATATTTAGGTAGAAAACGAAGGCTCAGTATTTTGGCATTTTCTAAATGGATACAATAATAAACATTTAAGTTCTGCAAAATCCCATGAAGATTTTCCACCCAAAACTAATGTCAGCAAATGGCTTTTGTGCCTGAGTTAAAAGCACCTGCATTTAGAGAATAGTTTAAGGCATGGTGTCAACACAATATGATTTTTGTTGTCAACCATAGAATTCTAATTTTATCAAGCATAAATGTTCTTTATGTATCAGCATGATTTTAAATAGCAATGACTTTAAAATTGGATTCTACCTACAAGCTAAGGCAGGAAGGACAGTGGATTTTATGGAATTCCACCTACGTTTACCAAATAAATCTAAGATGCATGCAATTCCTTCAGAATTACTACAGATTATATTTTGGGACATACGTGAAAAAGGAGCAAAAGGTGCTACTAAGATAACCCAATTACTTTCACACTCTGCTGGAGCATGATGAGACTTTATTACACTGCATTCACACTGTTGGAAAGTTCCCGTATTTTATAATACTGTACATTGACCATCCCCCCCCCCCAACCTGAGTGCCCACGTTCCCATAGAAGGCATATTTTTATATCTTCAGCTTCCAGGAATGTCATTAACACCTGTCATTTCAGAGCCACCGTAATAATACTCGACAACTTCACAGCTCTGTCAGATTTTTACAATGTAATAATCAATATGAACCACCAAGATAGCCAGAGTAACTGATCTTATACACTCTACCACCCTGACCTGATTACCCAAATATCAGCTGAGGTCACCTAATGGATCTAACTTCTCTAAAAATGTTCCAGAAGTTGATGGCTTTGACTCGCTTGAAAGTAACAAGATCCAGATGCTCCCTGTCTACACAGCACTAAACTGCAGAAGATCCCAAAACAGATTATTTTTTTTAAACTCCCTCTCTATTTTTCTGGATCTCTTTTCCTCAACACCCCATGTTTCCTTTTTACCCCAAACATATATGCACACACATACGTACACACATACTTCCCACCAGTATAGCTATGTATCTTTAACATAAGGTGCCCGACATTATTTCTTGCTAGTAATCAGTTAAAAGAAATCTTAAGTCAAAAAGCCATCATTCCATTTATTCCATTCATTTTGATGCAAAGTTTCTTTTCTGAATAGACTTCATGGTAGAAAATAAGAACCAAAAAAGAAAGCATGAATTTTGAAACATTTGGAAAAATTTAGCCAAATGACTAAAAGGGATGGAATGTTGGATATTTTTCATGCAACCCTTGAGTGTGTTGTTTTTGTTTCTTTGGAAGATGAGAAATGACTATAAATTTCCCATTTGTAACTTGTCCTTTTTGCCATTTCCTTAAGGAATCCCCCAAAGGGTTAAAACTCCAGCCGATGGAGCAGGAGGGCTGGTCTATTTATTTCAGCAGCAGCCCAAACTAAACGCTCACAAAGGCAAAAAGCAGTCGACCTTGCAGGGGCAGGGCAAATTATAGAGCGACTGAGGAAGGAAGGGAAAAAAAGAACAATCTTTAATATAATACTGAAAGTCTGCTGCCCGCTTTGGTTTACAAATCGGCATTGTTTGGTGAGAGAGAGTAAACGAGAGTTAACCACAGCATGATTACCAAACCCTAACCAGGGCACCCAGACCTGGTGACAGCTCAGATCACTCAGGCACGCCTTGTTCACTCCCTGCGTGTTTATTTATTATAAAGAGCCCAGTAGAGTACGGCTAATGCAATGCAAAATAATATCATGTATAAAGAAATACACTCCATGCATTCAAGGGGGAACAAGCAACCTCCCCACCCCTCCCCCAATATCAAGTCCGATGTAATCGACAAATTGGAGCAGTGATTTCACACCTGAGAGTCTACCATGTCTGAACTGCACGATAAAGTTCATGGTTGGCACGACCCACTGCTCAGTGACGTGGGCTTACCACTGGCCCCCTCAAGATCGCTTGAGCACACACGGAAAGCCTAAACTATTTAACCAATTCACGTCTAATTATCATCACTCTATTTCATCCCATTTCAAGCCCCAGGCCTTCTGATGGTAGCCAACACAGAAACACCAAGCTTCTAAAAGTAAAGACCATCTATGGTGAAGCTCCTAAATTTACTCTCTGGCATTCTGACCATCTTCAATATAAAATAAAATATTTGAGGCCATAGAAAAACCAAAAATGCGCCCAAACAAACTCTGAGACTTGAGTTAGCTGCTGTATACCTTCCCACGCCTGTCTTTCATTCTACACTTAGCGATTAAAAGTTTGAGTCCCCCCCCAACCCCAGTATGTCCTATCCAGTGGGAAGAACCCTTTCAGAGCCACAAACAAAGAACAGCTCACCAGAAAAGCCCCTGAAATTGTATTGTCGTGCCCGATCATCACTATTATGATCTCCTTTTAACAACCCTGCCCGTCTGCCGAGGGCTCGGCGAGATGGCCAAACAACAACAAAGGAACTCAAGTGCAACTATTATCTCTCCTTAAAGAGGAAGCCCCGATTCTGGGCTTGCTTTCTTCTTATATCTTTCTCTGTTTCATTAACTCCATTGCTATGTTACTAATTTCAAAGAAGCAGGAAGAGCTGGTGGGAATAAGGGGAGGGGGCGGTTAATCGTAATTCGCACGCCCGTCTGCTTCCCACCCCAAGTGCAGAAGGACACCCCACTGCTGCCAGGCTGTGGGGCATGCCATACCTTGGTTTGGAGGTAATGAGGGTAGTAGTAAGTGTACTGGGGGTACATTTGTGGCTGATCCAGGCGTTTGCCCATGTAGCTGGAATCGCTATCTCCGAGGCAGGGAACTGGATGACAGGCTATGTGCCCCAGGCCGAGCTTCCTCTGGAACCACTATTCCTGACAGTCCCGATGACTGATGAGGCTTCCGAGAGTCTTCCAGCACTCGCTAGTTCCAACACAGCAAGAATTTTAAAAAGAAACACACCAAAAAGAGAAAGAGGCGGGGATCTGTAGGAAAAAACCCCACACAGTCTCCCCGGATCACGCCTGGGGTCCACTTGGGAGGAGGCAGTTTGTTCTCTACCCGGCTGTCTGTAGTGATGTCAATTGCCAGCGTTTGTAAAGGAAAAAAAAAAAAAAATCAAAGTCCTTTTAGCAGAACTCGGAAATCTTGCAGATCAGCTTCCTGTCTCCTGGGTGTCTCTTTCCCCACCTTAAAGAAAAAGAAAAAAAAATAGAAAGAAAGAGAAAGAAGAAAAAGAAAAAAAGGGAGGGGGAGAAAAAGAAAGAAAGAAAAAGAAAAGGGAAAAGGAAAAAAAAAAAAAAACCTTGCACAGCTCAGTTGCCGCTGCGTCCCTCCCAGAGTGACATGGTGTTCAGGGCTTGTCCTGTCCTTTCATTCACGTCCCCTCCTTCCAGCCAGTGGGTGGGACCCGGAGAGCCCCTCCAGGGAGCAGCGTACGCAGTCCAGAAGGCTGCAGTCTTTCCTCCAAGAAAAAAAAAAAAGGCTGCTTCAACCCCTGCTGCCAGCAAAGTTGCGATTCCCTCTGCTGGCTATCTCGAATAGCAAAGCGGTTTTTGTAGCAAAGCTGCTGCCGCTGCCGCTGAACCCAGGGAACTCAAATGTGGGCGGTGGATGATTCCTTATCCTTCCCTCCATCCACCCCACACAAGAACACAAGAGCTGCCTTCTCCGCTCCGCTTGCCAAGTTTCAAGGTAAGCCACACTGCGAAACAAAACACGGCAGACCCTGGGAGGGACCAGAGGACGCAGGGAGGAAGGGAGAGAAAGGGGAAAAAAATCCAGGCAGACGGACTGAGCTCGCTGGTGAGAATGGAAAAAAGTGTGTCCAGGATGCTTTCAAAACCTGTGAACACACTAAAGCCAAATGAATCCGAGACCTAACCTTTTACTCAGGTTATAGAGGACAGTAAGTACTGAGGAAATGTTGGAGTCTACTCCAGAACTGCTCTTCACAAGCCAGGCACCGTCAGATCACCATGGCCAACTTATCATAGCAGATACAGTCCTTCTGATCCTTACATCCATTTTCTAAAAATCAAAAGAGGCGTCCCCTTCGGTTTATGATTGTCTTGATAAATAAAAGCACTGTTTCTCTTACTGTGTATCTCTTTATGATTCACGGGTCCTTTGCTCACTTTCCTGATAACATCACACACACACATACACACACAGAGAAAAAAGAACGAAAATCATCATCACTTGGCAGAGTGTTTCTCCACCAATAGCAAGTAGTCTTCTGACATGTCTATCAGCTGCTACATTATAATACAAATTGTTTCAGAGAAAATATATTTCCTTAAAGGGTCCCTTTTCAAGGCAGGCAAGGCTAAAATTAGACACACCAGCTGTGTTTTGCCGAGGGCTCACGCATGCCCAGAGCGTGGGCAGACAGACCAGCGCTGAACTCCTCTCGACTTTGTCAAGCCTGCTCTCTTATCCCCAGCCCAGAGTCGCCTTTTCAGAGAAAAGCTTCCTGGTACCAATCCAGCTTCCTAGACAAGGAGATCAGAGGATGTGGTCCCACACGCAATCCAGGGTCCATCCACTCACAAGCCCCACCTCCCTGTGGGCAATGAGCTTCCCGCGGGGGTCTGGCTTCTGGGAGCCGTGTGAGTGCACACAGGGTCTTTGGAGACAAAGTCATAATCACGACGGTGTATACAGAAGTTTATGTTTGACTCTGGACAAGAACGACTGTAGGAAGGAAGGAAGGGGAAAGGGTGGAGAGTAGGAGTAAAAGCCATGAAGCTTTCAGAAAGTATTGAGAAGCACTGAGAAAATTAAATCTCTGCCACTGTTTATATGTTCTTCTGGGCCTCACTTGTCCCATCTAGAAAATGGAACTTCTTCCAATTCACCTGACTGCAGACAGTCAACAGAAGAGAAATTCCGTTGACAAATACTAAAGAGAAATTCCATTGATTTCAAAATCCTTTGCAGCATCTCACTGCTCAGACAATGGAGTCCTGACTTCTGGTATAGTATTCAAGTCACTTGAAAACCCAACATCTTCTCCAGATGCAAACAGGAGACCCTGCCCCCTGTTTGATGCCTCAGTGACACTGTCTGGCTTTCAGGACTGGGCTGGGCCCTCAGGGCCTTTGATCATCCCCTCTGCAGGGGAGTCTCCTAAGATCGAACTCCACCAGACCCTCTGGCCCCCTCTTTAGACACAGCGTGGATAGCACCCACCCAGTAGCTTTCTGTGAACTTCCCCACTGCACCTGGTATTTGCCCTAATTTAATGTTTATCCAATGTTGCTGCCTATGAACTGCTGTTTGGTTTTCTTTTTCCTGTGATGCTCTAAAAGCATCAGGGAAAGCAAGAAAGAAGAAGCGCATCATTTTTGTTTACCATCATCTTTTAAAAACTGGCATGGCATCTGGCACCAAATGGATGTCCCATGTTTGAAGAATGAGTGCATGCATGCTAAGTCGCTTCAGTTGTGTCCAACTCTTCCTGACCCTATGGACTATAGCCCACCAGGCTCCTCTATCTGTGGCATTTCCCAGGCAAGAATACTGGAGCAGGTTGCCAGTCCTTCCTCCAGGGGATCGTCCCAACCCAGGGATTGAACCCCGGTCTCTAAGGCCTCCTCCATTGCCAGGCAGAGTCTTTACCACTAGTGCCACTGATAAGACATCTTAAACACGAGGAACAACTCGAAGCCAAATCGTATCCATCTTGAAGTACACTTCTGGGTTCAGGGGATGTCCTGCTACAGAGACAAAACGAGGTGCCTCATCCCTGCAGTGCCACTGCCCAGTTCATGCTCTGATCACGTGAATTCACCAAGACAAGCATGTGAAGCACTGACATCACCGCAGCACTTTCTGGATCTGCTCAACAAAGATGCAGTTAGCCTGCATCTAGGGAAGAGCATCTTAAGCTGAGAAACCAGCAAGAACAGAAAGGCTGGCAGCGAGCATGTGTCTTTGGAATGTGCCGGAAATCGTGCAGGGACTGAAACGGAGCAAGTGAGGAGTGAAGACTAGGGAATGAGGCTGGGGCCAGATCTACAAGCCTTGGTGGAATTTGGTGGGGAAAGTTAAATATGGCAGTTTACACTACAGCAGGGACTCTACCCAAATGTGCAGATTCTAAACCTCGCCATCTTCAACTTCAGATTGATAGCCTCCTAAATGACAGGCTGGGGCTCCTCCCATTGCAAGACCCATAGGACCAGGATGCTAGAGGACTTCTGCCAACATGGCCACTTTGGACAAAGGACAGCAGTATTCTTTCATTCATAATAAAATGCATAGATGCTCCTTAAAGGGAAAGGACTGCTGTCTTACTTACGAATAAAAGACCAAATAGATAAATCGTCTCAGTGCAGGCGATAACTCACTGATATGCAAAGTTCCCAGCACATGTCAATACTATGAGCAATTTCCACACAAATTGCCACTTTCCAAAATCTATTCTATTCCATCGGATTATTGGTATTTTCTGGGCATCAATTGTCATTAGCTTAAGAACATTCATTGAACATTTAAAGCTTTTCTTAAATAATGCAAAGACAGTTTAGCCCTTGGGAGATTGCTAAAATCTGTGTTGTGTTCATTTCTTTACTTTTATTTTCCTTCAGAGATCCCAGTAGCCATGGCAATTCGGGAAGCAAGATAGTCATGTCAGAAATAGTTTTTTTATATCATGTCTGCTCTGTTGGAGCTGTAGCACTTTCCATTTAAATGATCAAGTTAAGGTAGGCGGTAACTAGTTTAAAGCACTCTCTAAATCAGAAGCCAGCTGTGTCCCATTTGCCAACTACCAAACAAATTTTGTACAAATCCAAAAGCAGCAAACTGCATCAAAGGGCATGGACTCTTATAGACGCACATGATTCACAGCACAGACTAGAGACACTCATTTAAGACAACCCCTTAGCTAAGAGAATTGGGAGGATGCTTCAGACACATGTCAGAGGCAGAGCGTGACTGTACTGAAATAAGGGTCAATGGGGTACAGACACAGACTCTTCTGGTTTACCCTTGACCTAGCCACTCAGTGAAGAACTAGGTCCTCTCTCTGGATGATTTATTTTTATAAATTACAAAGACTTAGTTAAAAATAAGAGAACAGTAGAAATATAAGGAAAAACCATAATCATACTATCTACGAAAGCAAGTATTCTATTCTTCCATCTTTAAGAAAAGCATCCATGACCTTAAGTAAAGTTTAAACGAAAAACATTGTGGCATTTCCTGCTGTCTTTATTCAAGTCTGTGAAATACCTCTCCATCCCAGCAGCTGTCAAATGAGTAGGGAACATATAAGTTGTTTTTTTAAAGACAAAACCCTCAATTGCAAACTCCAACATTAATATTACCGCTTTCCTCTCTCCCACTGAATCCTTACCAATGACTTAAGAAAATGCCGAAGACAAATTAGAAGAAAGAGACTATCATTCAAGTATGCGTGGTCCAAATTTAAAGTATAATTGCATATAAAAATACTGATGTGGATAAAGACAATTTTTATTGTCTTTGGAAGAAAGACAATTTCTTCCACAATTGGCCGTGGAAGAAAATTTCAAGACTCAAGACAAAACTATAATGGACTACAGTTCAAGATGATATTAGAAAAGCAAGAACAATTTAAAGCAATGAACAATACTAACTTCAACAAAGTTTTATTGAGCCTCTGCTCCAAGCGTAAGAAAACTGTACCAGTATAAATACAGTCCATTGCCCTTGCCCTCAAGTAGATTTAACAAGTCAGTATCTATCAAACTTAAACCACTTAAAACAACCTTACTGTTTGGTCTCATATTTGGGTACCAGTTTGAAACAATACTTACTACAAATTTTTAAGCTGACTCACGTTTTTCTGAAATCCATATGAACTTTATGAGAATTCTAAGCGATGATATACATAACATTTATGCTTATTTTGCTTCTATTGTCTTTTAAGAAAATGCACACTATGCACCAGCTTTCAACATATATTTTTCATATCATTCAATACTGTGTGGGCACGCCTGGATCTCCTTTACCACTAGGATTAGCAAGTCTCACATTTCTCCATTCCATTAAAAGTAGGAATAACCACAAGACTTGCTATGGACAATAAAATACAAAGCACAAGTGACGCTCATAAAAGCTGAACTGCTGCTGGCTGATTCTGCAGCCCACTCTTCAATGGGGCAAGCAAGTGCTGATATGGAGGCAGCATTGCAGAAGGCTGAGAACAGCTGCCTTGAACAGTCACCGGGGCCAGCCACTGACTTGTCAGGTGTGAGAAGTAAACCTTGGTGAGA